TCAACACACCAAACTCAGATCAAACTAGAGTTGATCAAATCTTGATCCAAGATTCTGTTACTGCGTTGACTACTTCTTGCATAAAATCTTTTCAGAAACATATTTTAATCAACTGTTTATCTGTAATATGACAATGTACGGCGCCGCTGCTGGCTTCATGTTTGTTTATATTACAGGTGAATACGTTGGAACATACGATTGTAAACCATTTGTATAACAGTGACTTTGTCCTTGTTTTTATTTCATTTTCATTTTTCAAATTTCTAATCCATGCAAAAATGTTTGAATTGCTAATGGAGAGTTTAGACCACTTGGGAACGGCCCCAATCTTCAAGCAAATGTTATCAAACCTGTCATGAAAATGAACAGGCACATTTGAAACCAAGCAAGCATAACACTACAAACTTCACAAAAACCTGGGAAGCTATTATGTATTAATGTAAAATATATTCCCCACTTCCTGGTAGCAAACACGATACATCTTCTGGTGCTCATGATATGTTTATTTACATGCACCAAATAACACGCTGCTCGTTTTTTTTTTTATTAAAAAGGCCCTAAAATCATAAAATACAAATTTATTTCCTTTCCTTGATGAAAAGTACAATGACATGATTAAAACGGCTTTTTTTGAGCATGTGTGCTCTACAGGCAACAAAGACCATCATAAACACTGTACACAATGCAAAAATAAATGCAAATAAGTAGAAAATATGACACTAACTGAACTATCAGTCATCAGTCAAAACTCTTCGGTGGGAACAGGTGACAGTGCGGCTCACAGCCCCATCACAGAGGGAAACACAGCAGCACCTGTTAAAGGAAGAAGAGTGCTTTCAATCCACTCAGGCTGACTCTGTATCAACCCTCCCATCTAAACCCATTGTTACTTCATTACCATCAGCCTACACCTAATTCAAACGTATGTCGTACTTTTTGGGCTACCTTGACCATCTCCTGTGTCCGATTCTGGGACTTTCCAGTCCATCTGGCGGCCTTTTTCGTAGAGTCCCTTCAGGACCTTCCTCACTTCGTCTGTCCCACCTCCACGACTCAGCTCCAGGTACTTCCTGTACAGTTGCAGAGCGGTGCGGGCGTCCTCTATGCTGTCGTGGGTTTCCCCCTGGATGCTGAGGTCTGGGAGCCACACAAAGAAAAGGCGACAATCAGGAATGACTAATCATAATGATTCCTGTGGCAGCATTTCAACCATATCAGGATCAGTTTACAATGTGAGTATTGGACTTTTAAAAGGGATTAACACCTCAATGCTTTACTGCCAAAGCACAAACACAGACATGTAAATTATTCATGGAGACATTTGAGAA